TGTGAAGTTTTTCTCACAACATCAAAAATGTTGCCCGATGAGAATGTAGAAGCTTTAAAGTCAATATTGTCAATCATAATAAGATTCCAAATGTTTGATCCCTTAATTATATTTTCTCAAGGGTCGACATGACACATCCTAACTTTTTCAAGATGGTTTTCATGCTATTTAGTGTAAGATATAACATGTGCTGAATAAAGAATCTCACATAAATGTAATAATAATTTTGGATTTTGTCATATTGAGAATATGATATATGAAAGCCAGATTTTTATTCTAGGAAAAGCAATAGTGAGTAATATAGAAGTTAATAGGACAGTAGTCCTTGTAATTTGAACTTTATCAAGAGATCTTGGAGAGAGTCCATGTTGATATCTTTTTTTATTAGCTATTTTTTGTTTTCATTGCTGAATTGTAATGATAAAAGCTTGAAAGAAGCAATAAATAGTTTTAGGTAATGCATTAAAGTAATTTTCATATGAACTTGGGTTTTTTAACTGATCAATCTTTTCCTGAATTTTAGAATACGAGAACAAAACATTTTTCCCTAATTCTTCTCCCATCATTAAAGCCTCCTCAGAAGATTTTATATGAAACTCCTTCATCAACATATTTAAATCAACTTTCTTAACTCTCAATGCCATTAAAACAAGTAATTTGCTTGGCAATTTTTATGTTTTCATTTCTGGTAAGTCATTATTTATCATTTTATTGTTAAGAATGGTCAATGCTGGAGTTATCAATGAAAGAAATCTTTTTTGCAGCTTTTAATTCTCTGATTCTGCTATTGACATTATCCATTTTCCAATATATTTTAAAGAGTCACTTATATCATTATCATGTTTCCCTTGTTTCATACATGATAAAACTATCTTACCTTTATCTGGATTTTCATATAAGTGATTATCTTGTTGTTGAAAACATTTTGAACAGATATAATGTGCACAATAACTTGAAGATAACTTTTGTATAATAGGTCTCTCAGTAAATACTAAACATTTATAAATACTGATACAAAGTACTTGAATATTACATCTATTGATTTTCCATTAATGCTCCTTGTAACTGTCGCCATAGCTAAAAAAACATCTTTTTTTATAACAGAAAATGCAAAAGTGGAAACAAATGTTTTGGTCAATTGAACACAATTGTTTTGCACCTTTATTATAAAGTCAGTTCTAATTAAAAGCAAAATGAAAATGGCATACTCCAAGTTGGTAATTATTGCCCTTAACATCTTTGACTACATTCACATCTATTTCCCATGTTCCTATCATCTGTTTCAATGGTTATAAATTTATTTTCCCACTACAACGTTTTATTTCACCTTCTATAACATTCAAAATAATACATAATGTTAAATGTGTTAAGTTTGAATTTTCAATAGAGGTATCTTCTATTTTTATACATATAATTTCATTATCGTCGTTATTTTCATTACTATCTTTATCATTAGTTTCATTATCTTTATATTTACCATAGTTATAATATTCATTTTCTTCACTTAATAGGAGCTGAGCATTTGCGAGAATATTTTCATCAATAGTGAATAAGCATTTATTATTTTTTTCTGAAGTATTGCATTTCTCAAAATCCATGTAAGTGAATTCTGAATTACACATTATTTAATGTTTTTTGTTATAAGAATGATATAATCACAAGTGTGTATGAAATTTGAATTTTATAGGAATTTCATATCTCAGTACAATTTCTAATTTTATATAATAGTATCTTCGATTATATCATTATTAATTTACTAGATTTATTCTTGCTTTATGCATTATGAAATACATTTAAATCCTCTCTTGCGTTTCTCAAGATCATATGAAATAGTTTGATTGAGTGTACACTTTTTACTTACATAATTTTTACCGCATATTTTTTATTTTACTTTTCCTTATTTGATAATTTTATTATACTTAAGTTTCTATTAAACCTTCCTTAATATGATTTAGTCAACTACTTATTTAATAATTATCTTTCTGGGGAAATTAGCAAGGATGTAATTGAAATAAGCATAATTGTTTCACTTTATTTATTTTTATTAAGAATGGATATATTAACAATTTTTTCTAAATATATATGCTAAGAAGTTGACACGCAAGTTTATAGATTAGAATATGAACTTAAGAATATTAGAACATTTCCACTCAGCATTTAGAATCAATTCTTATCTAAATTGAAAGTAAATTTCAAGCCAAGAATTAAATCTAGAACTGGAATTTCTTGTTGTAGCTAATAAGAATATTACTTTATTTGTCCGAATTTATATTTATAAGATATCAAACTTAGCAAAGCAAATGAATACCTTAGGATCAATTCTTAGAAGTGATTCTATAGATTCTGATATTAATTTATGGTTGAAAATTAACTTTGAAATTAACTAAAGGTATAAAGTATTCTAAGTATTTTATTTCTAGTAAAGTTCTATAATTAAAACTAATATGTATCTCAATATTACCTGTAAGCAAGCAATACAGATAGTCAATGGGCAATGTCTGGCGAATTGAAATTTGATTTTTTGTCCTGGTTAATTTTCTGATTCTCGTATGTGCGTATGTACTTGTCACAACACACTATGTATAAATTTTGGCTAAAATCTGTACTAGTCTCTTGTCATTTCATCTTGAAATTTGTATATCGAAATCAAAATAAACTACGAAGCAAATTAACTTTCATTAGGTATATTATACTATATATAAAAAGAAGAATTTATTACAAATTTAGATTTATTTATTAGGTATTTATACAGATACTGTTTTTTGCTTCACGTGTCACAGTTATATAATATGCTGTGGTTTAATAATTTGTTTTATTCCTTGAATGGTTCACTTTTATCTGTTTTTTGATAAGTCTATATGAAATTTAATTTAATTAATTAACATTAATATTAACTGTTAACTATTAATTTATTTAATATCTAGAGATTCCTTGTTTCCATTTATCATTTGGTAATATATTTATTTTTTTTAGACTAAATCAATAAAAATAAATTGGGTTGTAAAACTAACACTTAGATGTTTAAAATCTCGAAGATTTATTTAGAATATGTTGTAATAAAATATAATATTTACTAAATCCACTCCTGTCCAACCAAATAAAATGCCTCCTTCAAATACTATGTGAAGCAGTATATTGACTCCCCACTTTAATCCTAAACTATTTTAGTGATTGTAAAATGCTTCACTATTCTCTTGGAATAATAGAATACAACTTTGCACCTAGATCTATCGAATATTAAGACACTTATTTGTTACCTGTGAGTTAGATTAAAAGTAATCTTATCAAATAATCTTCTGTCTGCAGTTATGATAAGAGCGCTTGTCTAATGTTTCATTCTCAGGTATGATATAATGCCTACTAGATGCTATTGCAGTAGGAAATGACTACTAAACGTTTCACCCACAAGCATGATAAGAAAAAATCCACTTACTAATTGTTATATGAGATGTTAAATACATAGGCTCAAAAACCTACTTATATTTGTATATGTCATATGTATCTTAACTATTTACAAATCAATTAGTTCTCTATATATATGATATAAATAATGTGAAGTATAATTTACAAACTGATTCTTTCTTTTAAGTAATTTTTTTTTATTTCATTCCAGAAACTATCAACACATTAAGCTTTTTTCTTTTTCATTATATCTCGAACACCTTGAATCTAATATCAGAATCATATAAACAATATATTAGCATAAAGAGACGTTATTTCATTTCTCATCTAACAAGACAGACTGACTATACAGAATACTAAATTAGAAAACCTCTTTATCAAGATACATTCCATTCTTTGAAATACATTGATAATACTATTTAATTACTATTGATCAAGATTCAATATCAGAAAAAAATGATGTATTACTTTATGTATTATTGACTGATCAGGATATTCTTTGATACTCCACATCCCATAGATTAGAAATGTAACTGAAAAGGTATAATAAACGGATAGTTGGTTAGAAACTAGCTATTATCAATTACTTTTAGGGAAAAACTATTATAATGATGTATTAAATAATGAAAATCCAATAATTCATACTTACTTGATCAACCAAAATGTCTTTTTCGAATATTATGTGAAGCAGTCTATTACTTGATGACAGACTCGCCGTTTTAGACTAATTTTATTATTGTTAAAAAACATTGTGGGTAAACAAATTAAAAATAAGAACATACTTATTATTACATATATTATATTACAGGGGTTATGATACTCTAACTTTGAATAAAGATCTTCTTCGAAGTATAGAATATTAAAAGTCAAAATTTATTTGGGTTAATAAACAAACATCTTAATAATAATTATAAGTTAAATAATATCAGTGAAAGAGTTGCAAAAATCTGAATTGCTATATACGCAGTATCATATAAACATAATTTTTTATATAAAATCTAGTGATCGACATGTAAATTTTATTAATGTACAACATTTTGAACCCCTGTAAGGGGAAATGTCCCATGACTGTTAAATATTTGATCTAATAAAAGTTGTATTTAATATTCATTCACGAAATAATGATAAACTGTTTCTCTAAAATAACATGATTTTTTAAAAATTTACACCAGCGGTGTAGTGTCAAAATATCAAGTTTTATTCAATACCTAACGCTGCCTCTGACGGAACCAAAGTATACATAATACTGAATCAAGACTAATAAAATTGCATTTATACATTAAATTAATGTCTAAGAATTAATATCCATTATTTTTTAACCAATTTTCCACATCTTCCTTATCTCGCGACAACCAAGCAGCGTTAACGCGAATATTCTCTAAGCTTTGTTTTAAAGGTCTTGCAAATTCCTTTGTGTCTTTGTCCTTAAAGAAATTTTCAATGTCTCGAATATCTTCTTCAGATGCAAACAAATCAATTGAATATTTGATAACATTTCCAAAAAGAACAAGAGATCTGGAATAACGCTCGTGAATCTATATAATACATAAAAAATAATAAATATTTTGTAACATGGCCAAAAGTAATGCTAATATGAACCATTTACCAATTCCCAATTTTGCTTTACAAAATTCCACAGCTGTCTACGTGATTTGCGATTGGCTTGCAACCTACGGATGCAGGAGAGTTAAAAAAAAATACATTGTCTTCATAAGAGGAATTGTGACTAATACAAAATTCTTACCCTGCAAAAGCGTAAATAATATCCTGGTTTTTTACCTCATCAGAAATTGCAAAATGCAAGAACTTTTGAATTAGATTTTCTTGCTGCACTAAACCCAGTGCATTTAGAGTAACAATTTTTTGGTCTGCTGTCTTTGCATTTTTATAAGCATCTAGAATAAAATCAAACTCCTCTTCTCCACCATAGGTTAATACTATCTCATAAACCGCACCGCGAATGTTTGGATGAAAAGCAGATTCATCGCCTGATGTAAAGAGCTTAAACCGACGAAGCGCCTCATTAACGACGCTATAAGTTCAATAAAAAATTAACCATCTATAAAATTACAAATAAATAAAAACAAAAGATTATAATCGTACTCTGGGTCTCCAGATTTGCCAGCCGTTCTAATGACCAAAGTTCTCAGCATTGTTGTCAAAAAGTCATCACTATCCGAATATTCCCAACCTAATTTACGAACTAATTTAGAAACCAGATGACGTCTAAATGCATGAAGGCCTTGATACACATGTTCCGGTTGTTCAAACCAAGCAGTTAATAAATCAGCCATGCGGGAGTTGATCTCCATCCATACACTAAAAAATAAGAATCCGTTAGTGAATGATATCCCACAAGCATTCGATTATATAAAGTTTACTTACATGTATTTTTCCTCGTCTTCAAATTCTTTTATAAGACTCAACATGCCACTGGTCTTTCCATGTCCGCTTAGGGCTAATGCCCCAGCATCAGCAACTAATCCAACACGATCGCTGGTTTCAAGTAGATTTTTTTTAACTGCCTGACCCAATTTTGCTAGACGTTCAGGAGGGTAATTTACCCTAAAAACACCAGTTTTCCGTGCATTAATTTGATAAAAATCGTCTGCACGATGAGGCAGCTTTAAGATTTCCTCTTTCTTTGAAAGAACTGCGTTTCTAACATCACTTTGAACATTAGATCCGAGGTCTATTCCAAGAGGAACCCACCAGACCGTAGTGTCCTCATCCGAACCAACTATTCCAGACGAAAGAAAACGAGATTGACTAATACATAAAGTGTTAGGATCCGATTCTGTAACGTTTAATACCGGATACTAAATATCCATTAAGAATACGTAAAAATAGTATGGCGTAAGCATAAATAGTATGATATAAGCATGCTAATAATAAATTTACATACTCCGACAACTCTGGTCCAAACTGACATGAACTCCTCAACATCTATTCCACTTTCTTCAGCCAATGCCTTCCATAGGTCACCTGTACTAGCGTTACCGTATTCGTGACGCTTAAGATAACGCCTCACACCTGCCAAGAATACATCTTCACCAAGATAATTACTTAGCATACGAATAACAGAAGCACCTTTATAATAACTGATGGCATCAAAAATCTGATGAATTTCGCTATTAGAAAATATTTAATGCAAAGATTTGAATGAGAACATAAGCGATTATATGATCTAGAATGAAAGGAAAATAAAGACCTCGGATCGTTAACAGGCACTTCAATAGGATGAGAAGACCTTAATGCATCAAGCTGAAGTCCTCGTTGGAGGCCATCGGTAACAAATCTATATTGAAAATCCCCAAGGAATGTTTAAGTTGCTTTATAATATATTATAAATTTGGTTTATTAATCATTTAACATACTGAGTCCAATAATCCCATTCGGGAAAGACCTTGACGACAGCAAGATATCCGACCCAGGTGGCAAAGCCTTCATTAAGCCATAAGTGATCCCACCTGAATTTTCAAAATATTCATACATTATCAAAATCTAAGCGCCCAAATTTTTTTAGACTAAATAATCACCTACCAATCCATAGTCACAAGATTTCCGAACCACTAAAATGAAATAATATCGAATAAGATTATACAGACTATTGAGCGATCAATTAATATTAAGAAGACCCACCTGATGTGCCAGTTCGTGAGACACTGTATACGCAATACGTTGTTTAAATTTGGCATCAGAGTCCTTGGGATTGAACAGAATTGCAGCAGTGCGATAAGTTATAAGGCCCCAGTTTTCCATAGCCCCTGTGACATAATTCTTTCGCGTTAAATATGAAATTATTACAGCACGAGTGAAATTGAGACATACCGGCTTCAAAATCGGGAATAGCAACCATGTCGCACTTCGGTAATGGATAAGGAATCCCAAAGACTACAATCAATAAAATGATGTTATTCAAAATGAAATGAATATGAATATCCTGAGTATTACAAACCTCCAGCGAAGTATTCTAAAACATCTGCTGCAACATTTAAGGCAAAGAGACCATTATTTTCTTGGCCCTTTGTAGCATAAACTCTGACTAGTACGGGCTTCCCTCCATTTTGAGCCCCCGTGGTCGATTTTTCAACGTACGCTAAATCTCCAACAATGAATGCAACCAACTAAAAATGAATCAGCGCAACAGTTTTATTTTGAAAAATAAAACTGTCTATTTATACAAATAACATACATAAGTACTCATTATAGGAGTTGTTGCAAACTTGACTTCTTTTTTGTCATTCGGTAGTTGTCTTTCGGAAATTACATTCATATTGCTCAATGCAACCAAGTCAGATGGTACAACTAACGTAATATCAAACGTAGCTTTGATTGCTGGCTCATCCCAACAGGGGAATGCGCGACGAGCTTCTGTAGCTTCAAATTGGGTTGTTGCCATATATCTATTCAATGTAGAATTACTTAAAAAATTTGCTTAATTTCATTACTTATATGATAACTATGACGCAAACTTTGTTTGGTTAAGTTCATCTTTATAAGAGCTTCGGTAAAACCCAACCATTTTGTCGTTCAAGTAACCAGCAAACACTAAGTGTAGAGCAGCCGTGGATCCAGCCGGGAGATCATGAGGAAACGTCAAAGTCGCGGTTTGTTTTTGTTCATCGTGGGAGATGTCTACAGCTTCATGGCTTAGATAATTTCAAAATTCAATATAAATAGTGATAAGATAACTTCATGCAAGAAGTCTTTAAATTCAAGTACCTGTAACTAGTTTTTAAGTTTAGGCTCACTATTTTTGCAGACTTGACTTTAACATCATTAGCATGAAGTATTATAACTTTAGTATTTTCATTAATATTTAAACTATTAAAGAGATAACTCGTAAGTGAAATTTTTGATTTATTGAGCAATTACTTCTAATAACACACAACTCACTTAATGACTTCTGTCCCGTTAAACGTAAATTCTTTTAAGTCTGGAAGCAAGGTCAGGTTATAGTGAGTCGGCCTAACATTCGTAGGCAAAACTTGGCGTTTCTCAGTGGTAGTCATACTAATAAGTGGAATCTTCAAGAAATAATACGCGGCAAAAACAGCAACTACAGAAAAGAAGAATAAACTTGAACGAAAAAGATTTTCGTTTTTATTTTGTCTCACGGACGTTGAATGCGAGGTACTTTTGGAAGTTGCCAGTTTAAATGCTTTGTACGTCGAGATTAAGATAATTACGTAAACGTGGGAAGATAATAATATTTTTTTTGATACAGTGCCCACCAATAAATTAAAGTTTTTATATTCATTAAATAGACTTTTGTTTTTTTTTTTTTTTTGCCTCTAATCAGACTGCAAGTCATTAAATAGACTTTTGTATATAAATTTTTTCTTTAAATAACTTATTCAATTTTATAAAATTTACATTTAATATTAAAAAAAAATTATTTTAACAAAAATTATTAAAAATTTTACATATATACATGTATATAGTATTTATCTATTTTAATTAATTGTACTAATATTATATATTTGTTTAAATATATATAGTATTTATTTTTTATAAGTAAATATTATTTCTTTATTTAATTTGTATATAAAAAGATGTACATCATAAAAGAAATAACATTTTTTATATGTTGATACAATGAGTTAAATGTTAACTTGCCTACAGTAATTACATAACTAATATTGAAAGAAAGTTTAAAACAATATATCTTATTATATGATATCAAACAATCATAAATATTTATTCATTATTAAAGTGAATAATATTTAATAAAAATAATATTAGATTTTGAATATACAGTGGCCTACCATATTATTGTGGACAATTTTTTTTTCTCAATTACTCAAAAATGGGCAAATAAATATAATAC